ATTTATGTGTCTAATTCATGAAAGTAAAATAGAATACAAATTATAATTTGTGAAATGTGACTGAAGCGTCTTTTAATTACTTAATCATTTATCAATATTACTGTTATCATCATTATTATTACAGTAGATAATTTATGTAAATACTGATGATAATTCAATAACAAAAAAAAGATAAATTAGGTTACGCTATTTACATATAGGTTAACATGAACACTTTATAATATGCCTGAATTTACCAATGAATGATAATAAATGAGTTCATAGATTATAGGCAAAGAATTTATAACAAAAAGGTGTATATAGAACTAGACGGGAGTAGTGTTGTTTGGTTAACCGACCCTGCTATGACCATCGATAAAGTGTCTTTTACTCAGAAGGCAAAAAAACAAACAAAAAAACAAAATACAAAAACAACAACAACAACAACAAAAACTAAAGTGGTTAGAGTAACTTACTTATTTTCTTTTCCTTTCGTCGGGAAAATGGAACAGTAGGGAAAAAAAATCCCTCTAAAGAAAAAAGAAAGGAAAATAATCGGTTTATAGATATGAATGTATCATTTTAGAATCTATATAGAAATTCAATACTTTTTAAACAACAGAAGAAAGCTGACGAGGGAGAATTTGCATACCGATGTAAAGTTACTTGGAAATCAATTAAGATTAAAGAAAATACTGACGCATTGAAACTTACAAAAAAGAAAAAAAATAGTGACGCATTTAAGCTTACAAAAAAACAAAAACAAAAAAGCAATACATTCAACACCAAACATCCTCAAATATCACGAAAACATTCATAAATAAAGATTACATGCCTTTAGACCCAAAATCTTATAATATATTCGTTATTACAGTGAAACCACGTGTCACACAGTAAAAAAAAAAAAAAAAAAAAAAAAAAAAAAAACGTTTGCAACATAAAGGTAACTTGTTAATTTCCTTTAATCTGATCATATTACTATCTCCCTATTTTATCATTAACTCGGCGCATTAGTCTGTCTGTGTCTTTATTTCAAATCACCCAAGAAATGATCAAAAGAAACCATGAAAACCACATTCTTTATTAATTATAATATCACTTATAAACCTGCAATTAAATGCGTGAACATCTCTTGCGGTTTATAAGGTATGTCGTCCTTGAGCGCTGGAGGAAGCGAAGGAGGAGGTGGAGGTGGAATTAGGGGTGGAGGAAGCGAAGGAAGAAATGGAGGTGGAGGTGGAGGTGGGGTGGATGTAGGGTGGGGGGAGGAGAAGCGAAGAAGGAGGTGGAGGTGGAGGAGGTGGAAGAGAAGGAGAAAAACGAGGAGGTGGAGGAGGAGGAGGAGGTGGAGTAGCAGGTGGAGGAGGGAAGAGGGAAGGGGAAAGAAAAAAAATAAGAGGAAGAAGAGAATGAGGATGAAGAGGAGGAGGAAGTGGAAGAGGAGAGTCGGGGGAGAAGAAGAAGAAGAGGAAAGAGGACAAAGAAGAAGAAAGAGAGAAAGAAAGAAAGAAAGCAAAAAATGTAAGTGAAACCGACATAGAAGGAACAGAAACCAAAGGAAAGAAAACTGAGGAATATGTTAAAAAAACAACAACAAAAAAACACAAAACGAAGAGAAAAAAAAACACGACCCCACCCCCTTCAAAAAAAGCCCAAAAAGCCCCCCCCCCCCAAAGCCAAAGAATACCGTAGAAGGAGGAGGAGGAGGAGGAGAAGAAGGAGGAGGAGAAGGAGGCGCGGAGGGAAGCACTACAGAAGGGGTCGCGGAGGAGCCGAGAACGCCAGTCGATCTCGGGCGGTCAGAGAGGGAGGGTGTGCGCGGCTCCTCTCTCCGGATACGTGGACACGAGGCGCTGCCCTACCGTCATTCCTGGTTTTATTTTCTTTCGTTGGAATTCCGTTATATTTAGAGGAGGTTTCTTGTTCTTTATTGAGTGTGTGTGGGAATGTGATTTTTTTTTTTTGTATATATATAACTGAAACGTGGGAAATTTATTCCGAAAGTGCGTGATGGACTACAAGTTTTAGTGACAATTTAGATCGAATAAAAAGAAAAGAAAAAGAAAAAGAAAAGAAGAGGAAGCTACGTATTTATTTAGAAACAAAATGAATTAAATAGAAATAAAAAAAGTAAAAGGTATAAAAAGGGAAAAGAAATATACAAGCTAGATCATTATTTAGAAATAGAAAAAAAAGAAAAAAAAAAATCACAAGGCATTCCATTCCGGATCAAAAGAGCAAATACCCATTCATCTTCCAGAAACTCTTTCTCTCTCAAAAAAAAAAAAAAACGAAAAAAAGGAAAAAAACAAACTCTCTCTTGTGCCCTCACCCACAGCCACTCGAGCCCCACCATGGCTAATAGACAGACCAGCAGAAGGACATCCTGAGGTTCTTCCCTTCATCACTTCATCTCGCAAAAGTCTTCCTGGAAAGATGGCAGTCTCCCATAACCACCTCCTCCTCCTCCTCTTCCTCCTCCTCCTCCTCTTCTGGAGACCTTCGGCGGCTAAGGACTCAG